GTGTACCATGGCCTGGTTTAACTTCATTATATCTTAAACTCAGCAAGGGATAAACTGTCACACAAACTCAGCGTGGGGTAAATTGTCACATAAACGCAGAATCGGTAAACTGTAACTCTCTCTCTCTCTCATACACACACACACACACACACACACACACACACACGCACGCACGCACGCACGCACGCACGCACGCACGCACGCACGCACGCACGCACACACACACACACACACACACACACACATCTTTGATATTCTGCCACACAAACACACCCGAGGCAAACTATCACACAAACACACCTGAGGTCAACTGTCACACAAACACCCCTGGGGTCAACTGTCACACCAACACCCCTGGGGTCAGCTGTCACACAAACACAACTGGGGTCAACTGTCACACAAACACCCCTGGGGTCAACTGTCACACAAACACACTCCCGGAATAACACGAGTTGGTCACAATCATTGGTTCACAAGAGTAACACCTGGTTACGTCGTTGGAATATAACTGAACCACTGCTCGAATGGGAGTACAGAAGTATTAGAATTTCATTTCACAAACTATGGTTATTGTATTATCATGTTATGTTGATGTAAACATTGGATACTTATATACCAGGTGGGGACAGGGGTGGTCCCCTCGTTAGAGGCGCCACGACTTGCTGTGCAGAAACCTATGAACTTGGGTTCGTCCTGATTGTCTTTCTGGGTTTGTTAGCACCATCGTAGATTTCACAAAAGTGGTAAACGTCAAAGACTTGCATCACTTCGCGCTTCCTCCCACGCCAAACTGAAACGCCGCGACATAACTGAAATAACGTTCGCAGCGGCGTTCAAACCAATTAAAACACCAACTACATGTCATGTTATTACATATGTTTGAGACATTACCATTGTACATATGATGAATGTAAGCACTGCGCACGAATAATTAAGAATTAGGCCATAAAAGCACTGTAAAGTAATTAAGCGACCCTGAGTTCGAGGCATTCTATTACTTCCATACAATTACGTTTCAAAATATGTTTACCCCCCTTGACATTCTTTCTTACAAACACAATTCAAGTAGGTTGATGCTGTCCAGAAAAGCCAGAAGCAGGAAAGTCGAGAAAAATATTCATCGCACGTCTAAGTTTGCATATTTTCCTGATTAAGTGTTGAGTGATGAAGTTTTATCAGTAGACAAGAACATTTTCCTATTGATTGTCACTTCTTAATGACCATTTGAAGAGAGGGTTTTTATACACAAATCGAAACCTAATTGAGAGAGTATTTGCATGCCTTTCAGGTTAAAATGACCCTCACGTTTCAATGAGTTGTTGTCGGAGTGGATTTATATTTAATGACATATTTCGTCTCCTGGTAAATCTGGAATCTGTGACACAGAGCCTTTATTGTATATTTTATGTGCAAAATGTGACGCCTAAGTTGCTTTTAATCAATTCACTCATTGGTAGATGATCAGAAACGCGTGCGAGTTAGGGTAGGGGAATGAGGGTGTTAGGGTTTGAATGTGTGAAGGTTTGAGGGTGTGAATGTGTGAAGATGTGAGGTGTGAGGGAATGAGGGTATGGGGTGAGGAGTGAGTGAAGGGGTGATAGTATGAAGGATTGGGTGAATGAAGTTATGAAGGTGAGAGAGTGAGTGAGTGTGTGTGAAGGAGTGAGGAATGAAGGAGTGAGGAGTGAGGGAGACAGGATGTGCAGGTAAGAGGGAGTCAGGGAGTGGAAGGTTTGAAAGGTGTCACGGTGTAAGGGATGGAGGGTGTCACGGTGTAAAGGATGGAGTGTGAAAGGTGTCACGGTGTAAGGGATAAAGGGTGTCACGGTGTAAGGGATGGAGTGTGAAAGGTGTCACGGTGTAAGGGATGGAGGGTGTAACGGTTTAAGGGGCGGAGGGTGTAACGGTGTAAGGGATGGAGGGTGTCACGGTGTAAAGGATGGAGGGTGTCACGGTGTAAGGGATGGAGGGTGTTACGGTGTAAAGGAAGGAGGGTGTCACGGTGTTAGGGATGGAAGGTGTCACGGTGTAAAGGATGGAGGGTGTCACAGTGTAAGGGGTGGAGGGTGTAACGGTGTAATGACGGAGGGTGTAACGGTGTAATGATGGAGGGTGTCACGGTGTAATGATGGAGGGTGTAACGGTGTAATGATGGAGGGTGTCACGGTGTAATGATGGAGGGTGTAACGGTGTAACGGATGGAGGATGTAACGGTGTAAGGGATGGAGAGTGTCACGGTGTAAGTGATGGAGTGTGAAAGGTGTCACGGTGTAAGGGATGGAGGTTGTAACGGTGTAACGGATGGAGGGTGTAACGGTGTAAAAGATGGAGGGTGTCACGGTGTTAGGAATGGAGGGTGTAACGGTGTAACGGATGGAGGGTGTCACGGTGTAAGGAATGGAGGGTGAAAGGTGTGAGGGATGGAGGGTGTGACAGTGTGAGGGCTGGAGGGTGTCACGGTGCCACGGATTGAGGGTGAAGGTGTGAGTGATGGAGGGTGTAACGGTGTAAGGGTGGAGGGTGAAAGGTGCCGCAGTGTAAGGGATGGAGGGTGTAACGGTGTAAGGGATGGAGGGTGTAACGGTGTGAGGGATGGAGGGTGTAACGGTGTGAGGGATGGAGGGTGTAACGGTGTGAGGGATGGAGGGTGTAACGGTGTGAGGGATGGAGGGTGTAACGGTGTGAGGGATGGAGGGTGTAACGGTGTGAGGGATGGAGGGTGTAACGGTGTGAGGGGTGGAGGATGTAACGGTGTGAGGGATGGAGGGTGTAACGGTGTGAGGGATGGAGGGTGTAACGGTGTGAGGGATGGAGGGTGTAACGGTGTGAGGGATGGAGGGTGTCACGGTGTAAGGGATGGAGGGTGTAACGGTGTGAGGGTCTGAGGGTGTAACGGTCTAAGGGATGGAGGGTGTAACGGTGTAAGGGATGGAGGGTGTCACGGTGTAAGGGATGGAGGGTGTAACGGTGTGAGGGGTGGAGGATGTAATGGTGTAAGGGGTGGAGGGTGTAACGGTGTAAGGGATGGAGGGTATAACGGTGTTAGGGGTGGAGGGTGTAACGGTGTAAGGGATGGAGGGTATAACGGTGTAAGGGGTGGAGGGTATAACGGTGTAAGGGATGGAGGGTGTCACGGTGTAAGGGATGGAGGGTGTAACGGTGTGAGGGATGGAGGGTGTAACAGTGTGAGGGGTGATGGATGTAACGGTGTAAGGGGTGGAGGGTGTAACGGTGTAAGGGGTGGAGGGTATAACGGTGTAAGGGATGGAGGGTGTAACGGTGTAAGGGGTGGAGGGTGTAACGGTGTAAGGGATGGAGGATGTCACGGTGTAAAGGATGGAGTGTGAAAGGTGTCACGGTGTAAGGGATCAAGGATGTCACGGTGTAAGGGATGGAGTGTGAAAGGTGTCACGGTGTAAGGGATGGAGGGTGTAACGGTTTAAGGGGCGGAGGGTGTAACGGTGTAAGGGATGGAGGGTGTCACGGTGTAAAGGATGGAGGGTGTCACGGTGTAAGGGATGGAGGGTGTTACGGTGTAAAGGATGGAGGGTGTCACGGTGTTAGGGATGGAAGGTGTCACGGTGTAAAGGATGGAGGGTGTCACAGTGTAAGGGGTGGAGGGTGTAACGGTGTAATGATGGAGGGTGTAACGGTGTAATGATGGAGGGTGTCACGGTGTAATGATGGAGGGTGTAACGGTGTAATGATGGAGGGTGTCACGGTGTAATGGTGGAGGGTGTAACGGTGTATCGGATGGAGGATGTAACGGTGTAAGGGATGGAGAGTGTCACGGTGTAAGGGATGGAGTGTGAAAGGTGTCACGGTGTAAGGGATGGAGGGTGTATCGGTGTTAGGGATGGAGGGTGTAACGGTGTAAAAGATGGAGGGTGTCACGGTGTTAGGAATGGAGGGTGTAACGGTGTAACGGAAGGAGGGTGTCACGGTGTAAGGGATGGAGGGTGAAAGGTGTGAGGGATGGAGGGTGTGACGGTGTGAGGGATGGAGGGTGTAACGGTGTGAGGGATGGAGGGTGTAACGGTGTAAGGGATGGAGGGTATAACGGTGTGAGGGGTGGAGGAAGTAACGGTGTGAGGGGTGGAGGGTGTAACGGTGTGAGGGATGGAGGATGTAATGGTGTAAGGGGTGGAGGGTGTAACGGTGTGAGGGGTGGAGGATGTAATGGTGTAAGTGGTGGAGGGTGTAACGGTGTAAGGGGTGGAGGGTATAACGGTGTAAGGGGTGAAGGGTATAACGGTGTAAGGGATGGAGGGTGTCACGGTGTAAGGGGTGGAGGGTGTAACGGTGTAAGGGGTGGAGGGTGTAACGGTGTAAAGGATGGAGGATGTAATGGTGTAAGGGGTGGAGGGTGTAACGGTGTGAGGGGTGGAGGATGTAATGGTGTAAGTGGTGGAGGGTGTAACGGTGTAAGGGGTGAAGGGTATAACGGTGTAAGGGGTGAAGGGTATAACGGTGTAAGGGATGGAGGGTGTCACGGTGTAAGGGGTGGAGGGTGTAACGGTGTAAGGGGTGGAGGGTGTAACGGTGTAAGGGGTGGAGGGTGTAACGGTGTAAGGGGTGGAGGGTGTAACGGTGTAAGGGGTGGAGGGTGTAACGGTGTAAAGGATGGAGGGTGTAACGCTGTAAGGGGTGGAGGGTGTAACGGTGTAACGGGTGGAGGGTATAACGGTGTAAGGGATGGAGGGTGTCACGGTGTAAGGGATGGAGGGTGTAACGGTGTGAGGGATGGAGGGTGTAACAGTGTGAGGGGTGGAGATGTAACGGTGTAAGGGGTGGAGGGTGTAACGTTGTCAGGGGTGGATGATGTAATGGTGTAAGGGGTGGAGGGTGTAACGGTGTAAGGGGTGGAGGGTATAACGGTGTAAGGGGGTGGAGGGTGTAACGGTGTGCGGGATGGAGGATGTAACGGTGTAAGGGTTGAAGGGTGTAACGGTGTGAGGGTCTGAGGGTGTAACGGTGTAAGGGATGGAGGGTGTAACGGTCTAAGGGGTGGAGGGTTTCACGGTGTGAGGGATGGAGGGTGTAACGGTGTGAGGGATGGAGGGTATAACGGTGTGAGGGGTTGAGGATGTAACGGTGTGAGGGATGGAGGGTGTAACGGTGTGAGGGATGGAGGGTATAACGGTGTAAGGGATGGAGGATGTAACGGTGTAAGGGATGGAGGGTGTAACGGTGTTAGGGGTGGAGGATGTAACGGTGTGAGGGATGGAGGGTGTAACGGTGTAAGGGATGGAGGGTATAACGGTGTTAGGGGTGGAGGGTGTAACGGTGTTAGGGGTGGAGGATGTAACGGTGTAAGGGGTGAAGGGTGTAATGGTGTTAGGGTTGGAGGGTGTATCGGTGTAAAGGATGGAGGGTGTAACGGTGTAAGGGGTGGAGGGTGTAACGGTGTAAGGGGTCGAGGGTGTAACGGTGTAAGGGGTGGAGGGTGTAACGGTGTAAAGGATGGAGGGTGTAACGGTGTAAGGGATGGAGGGTGTCACGGTGTAAGGGATGGAGGGTGTAACGGTGTGAGGGATGGAGGGTGTAACAGTGTGAGGGGTGATGGATGTAACGGTGTCAGGGGTGGAGGATGTAATGGTGTAAGGGGTGGAGGGTGTAACGGTGTGAGGGGTGGAGGATGTAATGGTGTAAGTGGTGGAGGGTGTAACGGTGTAAGGGGTGGAGGGTATAGCGGTGTAAGGGGTGAAGGGTATAACGGTGTAAGGGATGGAGGGTGTCACGGTGTAAGGGGTGGAGGGTGTAACGGTGTAAGGAGTGGAGGGTGTAACGGTGTAAGGGGTGGAGGGTGTAAGGGTGTAAGGGGTGGATGGTGTAACGGTGTAAGGGGTGGAGGGTGTAACGGTGTAAAGGATGGAGGGTGTAACGCTGTAAGGGGTGGAGGGTGTAACGGTGTAACGGGTGGAGGGTATAACGGTGTAAGGGATGGAGGGTGTAACGGTGTGAGGGATGGAGGGTGTAACAGTGTGAGGGTGGAGGATGTAACGGTGTAAGGGTTGAAGGGTGTAACGGTGTGAGGGTCTGAGGGTGTAACGGTGTAAAGGATGGAGGGTGTAACGGTCTAAGGGGTGGAGGGTTTCACGGTGTAAGGGATGGAGGGTGTAACGGTGTGAGGGGTGGAGGATGTAACGGTGTGAGGGATGGAGGGTGTAACGGTGTAAGGGATGGAGGGTATAACGGTGTAAGGGATGGAGGGTGTAACGGTGTGAGGGGTGGAGGATGTAACGGTGTAAGGGTTGGAGGGTGTAACGGTGTAAAGGATGCAGGGTGTAACGGTGTAAGGGGTGGAGGGTGTAACGGTGTAAGGGGTCGAGGGTGTAACGGTGTAAGGGGTGGAGGGTGTAACGGTGTAAAGGATGGAGGGTGTAACGGTGTAAGGGATGGAGGGTGTCGTGGTGTGAGGGATGGAGGGTATAACGATGTGAGGGGTGGAGGGTGTAACGGTGTGAGGGATGGAGGATGTAACGGTGTAAGGGATGGAGGGTGTCACGGTCTAAGGGGTGGAGGGTGTAACGGTGTGAGGGTCTGAGGGTGTAACGGTGTAAAGGATGGAGGGTGTAACGGTGTAAGGGTTGAAGGGTGTAACGGTGTGAGGGTCTGAGGGTGTAACGGTGTAAAGGATGGAGGGTGTAACGGTCTAAGGGGTGGAGGGTTTCACGGTGTAAGGGATGGAGGGTGTAACGGTGTGAGGGATGGAGGGTGTAACGGTGTGAGGGGTGGAGGGTGTAACGGTGTGAGGGATGGAGGGTGTAACGGTGTAAGGGATGGAGGGTATAATGGTGTTAGGGGTGGAGGGTGTAACGGTGTGAGGGATGGAGGGTGTAACGGTGTAAGGGATGGAGGGTGTAACGGTGTGAGGGATGGAGGGTGTAACGGTGTGAGGGATGGAGGGTGTAACGGTGTGAGGGATTGAGGGTGTAACGGTGTGAGGGATGGAGGGAGTAACAGTGTAAGGGGTGGAGGGTGAAAGGTGTGAGGGGTGGAGGGTGTGACGGTGTGAGGGGTGGAGGGTGTCACGGTGTCACGGATAGAGGGTGAAGGTGTGAGGGATGGAGGGTGTAACGGTGTGAGGGGTGGAGGGTGTCACGGTGTAAGGGATGGAGGGTGTAACGTTGTGAGGGGTGGAGGGTGTCACGGTGTGAGGGATTGGGGGTGTAATGGTGTTATGTATAAGGATGGAGGGTGTAACGGTGTATATGATGGAGGATGGCACGATGTGTGGGGTGGAGGGTGTAACGGTGTGAGGGGTTGAGGGTGAAAGGTCAGAAGGTGTGAGAGAGTGGAGGTGAAAGGGATTGAGGTATGAAGTTGTATGAGTTTGAGGGGGAGTGAGGGTGTGAGGGTGTGAGGGTGTGAAGGAAAAACGGTGCACAGCGTCTGTTGGTAGGTGTTCCAGTGCATAAGGTTTGGGTGATTATTTATAGAACTGCCACACATGGAACTTTGTCATTGAATTATATAGAAGTCTTCTTTCTAAAGATGAGCAATATATTACTACTATATATATGCTCTTGATCACTTCTGTAAGGCATGGGAAAATTAAACGTTGGACCCCAAAACATCAAAATCAAATATTTATCTGAAAATGATGCTTTCCCCCATTTTACTTTTCAATTTCCTACTTGTTGTTCCTAATAATCAAAGATTAAAGTATCATGCATGGAGAACGTGCTGTAGCTCGGAACAGGCACCGACAAGTTTAACAAAACAACTCAAATAGCAACCTCGTTACCTTCACCACACTTTCTTTCCCCAACCCCTCGTGCTCACAGCTGATACATCCGGATGCGTTGAGAAAGAAGTTTATAAGTAAATTCGCAAAAACATATACTTTAATTCCAAGAATATTCCCAGAAGGCTTCACAAAATGTCACGAGATTGTCCTAGTGGTCGTGAATAGTAAGGACCCCTAAGGACCAATTAGCAAGACCTGTTCTCAAAGGCTGGCGAGAACCGTCTGCACGTTTTTCCCTTTGACAATAGGAACTTCTTAAGTTTTGCATTACGAGCTATATTAGGCCATTGCTGTCGGCTATGTCGCTGGACTGAAAAAAATGACTGTAATTATTTACAAGATCACTGTATTATGACATAAAAGGCGGAAATATTTCCTCTTTCAGAGCACCATAATGCATATTTGATGACAGTGCTTGAGCTGCACTCGGATTTATCAATGCCGTTGGGTATTGGAAGAATTGGACATTGTATTGAAATCTCCAAGTTTCTGTGTTTCTTGAATGTCAACTGTCGGCGCTTGTAACAATACTGGAGTCATGAGACCACACATGCCAATCTATTACGTACTGTGGTACTATTATACTGGCAACGATTTTTTGTTGTTGAGATTATATACATCTGGAGGGTCTGTTTTTTGTGGCTGAGAAAATGCACTAATGAAAATAATAATGATAATTAGGTATACACACTCATTAAAAACATATTTTGTGGACGTTATTGGTAAGGCAGATTCATAGTGTGTATAGGGAAACACCATCTAGCATATTCGTTATTATGAAGTATTAATACCCGTGAATGCATGGTTTCCAGTAGACTTGGAACATTAAATACAGTTGCCACATTGGCTGGCGACATTTTCCAATATGTTGTGTTATTATATAGGAGAAAACTGCTAAAACATTTAATTAGTTTAGTATTAGTATTATATGTTATTTACTTCGGAATAACCAAACAACATTCAATAAAGTTAATACAATACATATTGTTTGTGTGGCTCATTTCATTTTCACACTATGCTAGAAACTTACATTGCTTATTTAGGTTTTAATAAGATATATATTGTTTGTCTAGCTAAGCTCTGGTATTATCATAAACTTCGATATATAGAACTGCATTTAATGAAAAAAAGTTTCTGATTATTAGCGATATTCCAGCAATATTGCCTTAGGGTATACCAACAATATATTCTTAGGTACCTACAGTGATTCTGATTTGCATATCCACATATGTATATGGTTGTAGCGACCACATCAGTTCGGTAGCTTGAACTATAATATTGGTTTTATTAAATGCAAGTTTTTATTTACAAGAAGAACATCTTGAAACACTTTCTTGTAAGGTAGTGGTGCAACACCGAATCAAACTAAAAATAAGACATCACTCTGGGATTCCATGGCGGCATGATACTATGAATATAAAAACACCAAGACTTGATATAATTGTTAGGCTTCTGATTGTGTGCTTCTTCCTTGACAATTTGTAATCATTGCACTAAAAGCTGAAGTCCATTGCATGACTCCCTTCCCACAAGAAGTCATAGCTGGAACATTGTTAAAGGTGGCTTAACTCACTCACTCCAACGTGCAGCAATATAATTTCCGTTGTATACTATGATTAAGAAGGACCAAATTCCATGTTGTTGGTAGATTGTTTTTTGTTGATTGACTTGCCTTTGCTCGTGTTTGTGACGATACGCTCAACGTTTCCGCCAACACCTCGTTACATCACTATTTGATAATGAATCATAAACACATGCTCATGATATAGTCGGAATCGTAGAATCGAATCCGTTTTTGACAGAGATTTGTTCTGAATAAGGAAAGGGTTTTGACGCTTTTATTTTGTGTCCGTCGATACACTTAAACCATGTTTAATAAATGCCTATATACACTTTCCGCAGGTTAATCATATTCAGCTGTTCAAGGACACGCTTATCAAAGAGAAATGACAGATTGAGATATGTCGAAAACAGTTACATATCTATCAACACACTTGTCACAAATGTCCCCGAATGTGCCACAAGATTGCCTCCTCTTGCTGCTCTTACCGATGCTATTTTTGTGACTAATTCACGTTTAATACTTTTGTCCCATTCATAGAGACAATCACAAAACGGACTAACATTAGTACGATTGACCAGCAGTGCCATATTCACCAATTTCTATCGCCAATTGTGCAGTTGATAATATACTTCCACGCATCACTGAACCAGTTCCCATGAACACGTCCTAAAATACGTCATTAAGTAAGGCTAACCTTTGTCTAAGTCCTCTCTCGATCAAAATCACCTGCCATATTTTCTCTCAAGATGAGCCTGAAATGTTACCATACATTGATTTCGATACGAGCCAGACAGTGTAAGTAGGGACATGCTTAGAACCAGTCATCATTTAGTGTGTATTGTGAACTGCATTAGGGCTTAATTTGCTCAACTGTTGAGGTTTATTCACTTAAACTTGATTTTAGTAGTCCTCAGAGCGTCTACCGGGTTTGTGAAAGCTCTAATGGGGATTTTCAAGGATTTCTATTCAAACGTATCGCCCTTAAGGGGTTGGGCCAACACCCCAGGCCTCTTAAAGCCCACTAATGTCTAGAAAAGTTTCCTCAAGTATGTTATTGGCTGCTTGTTGCTTGCTGTTGGGACTAAGCAGACACGAGGATAATATTTTGGGATTATGTGCTGTTACTTTGATACGCCACGTTTGAACCCTCGCTGGAACTGCGTCATCATAGGAGTACAAATGTCTTAAAACTTTTATCAAATCTTTTTATTACCTTTAGTGTGATTAAAATACATCTAGTAGATTATTTCATTACCTTCTCGGGGACATGGGTGGCCCAGTCGTCTTAGGCGCCGCAAATCGCTGTGCAGAGTTGCGTCCCTTGGGCTCGCCAGAAAGCTATTGTCGCTGGTTCGAATCCCGATTCGCCCCGAATATGTTTCCGGGTTTATCAATGCCATACCCGTGCTCGTCAGTTTACGTGGTCAGATTCGGTGTCTTGGGTGATGCATGTCATCGCATGCCAATTGCGGAGACTGATGCTAATGATAGCTGGAATATTGCTGAGAGCGGCTTTAAACAACAAACAATAGGTACTGGCGACGATGTATTTAACTACGTTATCTATTGCATGTTTGTATTTTATAAACAAATTAGAATTGTATAGATCGGTATTTGACTGTTATTCATATGGTTTGCAAACATTCCTGATAGCCATTGCAGTGGCGGGTGTATTTTGAAACACAGATGGAGGACATGTCAATCCTGTCATACCGAATTCCTTAAATAAAATTAATGCACGATACTGTTTCGATTTTCATGCAAACCATTTTGAACATAATTAAAAAGGACATTTTCTAAGGAAGCAGTTTAAAAGGTCGATGTCGGATAAAAAAATATACTTTTAGTTGTGATACTCTCAGAACCGTGACTGCGACAAAGCCTTTGAGAACATAGGGTAGCATTGTGGTTAAAGCGTTCGCTCGTCACGCCGAAAGACCGGGTTTGATCCCCGGTACAATATGTGAAGCCCATTTCCGTTGTTCCACGTCGTGATATTGCTGGAATATTGCTAAGCGGGGTAAAACCTTGTCACTCACTCATTCTGAAAGGTAGCACAACTGACGTTATGGAGCAACAAGAACCCACATAGAAACGCGGTTGAACTGACACGATCTTGTATTTCACATTGTTTTACCTATGCTAGTAACACTAATTATTTCCAGAGTTGGATGTGAAATGACTGGGATGACTTCAACGGTAACTTGTTACTTGTAAGGGGGTAACGGATGGCCCAGTCGTCTAAGGCACCGCGATTCGCTGTGCAGAGTTTGCATTTAAATGCATTTTATTTGAAATTCCAACCATTTACGTATTTTTCGAAATAGACACTCTTCAGAAAAAAACACATTCAATGCATATAATATCCTGACGGGTTTTTTTTTCAAAAAGATGTTTACAATTTGTAGAGTCCTTTGTGTTTTATGAAATGTGTACCAGTTTTACAAACCTTGCAGTTCTTATAAAGTAAGATGTGATTTGTTATTATGTGATATATAATATTTTGATCTTGAATTTCAACTTGTGCTATGACGATTTTTGTTATAAAGGTTACAGGGAGTTTCTTCACCTTAATACTGATGGGGGCACATGTGGCCCAATCGTCTAAGGCGCCGCGATTCGCTGTGCAGCGTTGCGTCCCTTTGGCACGCAAGAAACCTATGATTATGGGTTCGAATCCCGGTTCGCCCCGATTATGTTTCTAGGTTTGTCAGCACTATACCCGTGCTCTTGGGTTTCACTAAGGTGGTAAATATCTAAGACCTGCATCACTTCGGGCTTTTCTCCCACATTAAGCTGACACGCCTTGATATAACTGGTATACTGTTAAAAGTGGCGTTAAATCCAACTCACTCACTCTTACTTGTAAAGATCCGTGAGAAAATAGGTCTTCAGCAACACATGCTTGCCGTAACAGGCGACTATGCTTGTCGTAAGACTTGGTTGATGCAAGTTATCGTATACCAATTCCGTGGATCGATGCTCAGCATGTAAATCACTGGATTGTCTGGTCCAGACTCGATTATTTACAGATTGCCGTCATAAAGCTGGAATATTGCGGCGTTAAACAACACACTTTTATGTGCATAATGTAGTGATGAGCAGACTGTGTGTTGTTTTCGCGATTTACTTCAACTAACTAAATATATATTCAAATATAACCACATCTTCTATTCCCTCAACCCTTCCTCTCTAGAGATTACATTTCAAAAATAAAGAGTCAAGTATTTACTTCAGTGTATATTTGACATTTCTAATATCATTATTAGAAGCCACAATGTCATGTCGTTATCAGACACTTTTTCATTATCCACAGACCCGAGGGTTTACCGTTCACAGAAAAAACAGAATACGCGACAGCTCTGACTTAATCATTTCCTCGGGGAATACATCCTTGAAATCTGATTCCAAATATTTCCAACTGATTTCCGGTGGGCGGTTTGATACAAAAGTTGGAATATTTGACCGGTATTTGACGAATTTCAATATGGGCGGTATTTCGCTCCGCGGATGGAATTCATCTCAGACGGTAGATTTGAAAAAAGTCATAAAAAGTAATAATCTGGGTTATGAAATTTATATCGATGTTTAAATACACGTTTTTGATTTTCCCGAACCTAACACGTTTGGCGGGACATAAACAAACTCCCTCGGGAAAATACCAGCCAAGTGCCATTGATTCTTAGGCGCTGGGATTTAGAAAAGGCCCAATTTAGTGATTCCAGTTTTGGCTATAATCTATCCAAATTTCTCTAAATTTGATTAAATGCCGTTGGGAGGTGTAAAAACAGAAACGGAATAATATTTTTAAACCAGCCCACTCTGCGCTATTGCAAATTGGCTTAGCTTTCCCGAGTAATGTCTGATACGATTACCACAGCTGCAAACTTCAGGTGACATATCGTTTTAAAATGCCTGTAAAATGTCAAACAGATCCTGTTTTTAACATATCACGTCATATAAAAGTATTACAAAATCTCAAAATCCCCCCTCACTTTGCTTAGGGATTGACGGAACAACGTTTGTCTGGAGAAGTTAAAAAATACCCTTTAACGTTGATATATCACCCGAACCATGTACATTATGTCTGTTTGGGAAGATGGAACGAAACTTGATCACCGCTTTCGACTACAAAACATATCATGTCAAAATAAATTGCTTTTAATTCATTTAAGGTTCCTTGAATATATCGTTGGCGATTGAGCACTTAGACGAATGAAACATTCCCTTTCATGATTATTTGGCATGCCTTGAGGTCCATGTTTTAAAGGGACAGCTGTTCAATTATTTCTTTCAACTAGGAAATGATGCTACTTGGAAATAGAGAAGAATCGTTCGCGTTTAGAAAAAAAACTCAATATCATTAACAAATGTAATTATTTATAATAGTTGAAGTTTATAAAACCTTCTGCGCTGATTTTTAAAAGTGCACATAGCTTTCTAAAAGTTACGGAAGTGAAGACTTTTATGATTGCCTGCCAACGCACCATGACGGCGTTTGACGTTGTTCAATGGACATAAAACTGCCTGGCAAAAGAAAGTATTCACTCATGCTTGATGGTGCTAATAGTGAAACAAGAAATGGTTGTTCGATGGCGATGTGTTTCAAATGGGTATCACTGCGAACCTAAGGCCCACACAGCGACCATTTTCAGCCAATTTCATTTTGATAACGTTTGTACTTTTCTGGTTAAATCCAATTTGCAATTGTGTACTTTCTTTTGCAGTTTATTGTCAAGCAACATGTTTGCGTGGACGACACACTGCAGCCATATAGCTTGAATATTGCTGACTGCCGCGAGAGATAAAATACACACCAGGTTCAAAGTATCATAAATTCAACTAATGTTTCTGCTATTATCCATGATTCTTTTATCGAAGGTTATCTGGATTGATGATCATATATTCAAGTCTTTTTAGCAAGTCACCAAAGGTGCACTAATAATTGGCTGCCTTTTCCAATCCCTGACTATCAGTAAAGAGTTTAAGAAAGAATGAGGCTATGATTTATTCTAACCGTTCTCAGAGACCTTAAGAACATTTATCGCAAACAAGAAGTCGTAAATATTGATGAAGAAACAAAGCCGGTAGTCAAACCTGAATTTCAGTCGCTTCATTAAAGAAGCATATGCCATTAAAAGAAAATCATAGATTGTAAGGGATTACCTCCCCTGGATCACTAAAACTAAATGGAATGGCGGTAACGCTGTAAAACCTCTCTCGTTGATGTCAGCGTGTCATATTACCCTGAATACTTGATTTACCAATATTATCTAGCACAGGAGTTTAAGGTACAAGGGGAAATAACGAGGACATTCGGAATTACTGCTTTATAAATATACAATAAACAATGAGGAAAAACATTTTCAGAATGCAGTGATCATTGATGAATATATTGATCGACTTTGGTCTGAAGTTTCAAAGAATTTCCATCACCATATACTCCACACCACGTGGTATTGATTGTATTTTGAATACCATATTTGCCTCAGTCTACAGAACACACGTTTTCATATTCTACATGCCAAATGACCAATGAGTGAGTGAGTTGCCTTGGTTGATCAATAGTTCAGACATATCACGGCTTGTTAACTGGCCAAAGGGGAAAGTTAACTCAGTGTTACGTCTTCCGACGCTCAATTTTTTTTATGGTAGTTATGTGGACTTTTTCAAATTTGCAATTCCCTATGTTGACTTGGACAATAGGTTTACGTGTTTATTTCAGGTGAACAATTGACTTGCCTTTGCATGCGTTTGTTGCAGGTGCACCAGTGGGGCAGGATACGCTCACGAACATACGGTAGCATAACTATTGGATAGTGATTCATAAACACATGCTTCTGGTATAGTAGGAATCGCACAATGAATTTTGTCGTGTTTATTACCATAATGGTGAACCAAAGATCATGGGTAAGGTGAGCTAACAGACGAGGGTCATAGTCAGAGCGACAATAGGAGTCGAACCTTCGGCCAACGTGTCCTGGCTCACAACTCTGAACATCTAAACGTCAAAGACCACAGGGTCATAGGTGCCCCCAACATACAAATACAAACATACAAATAAACCACAGATGACACATCCTTGCATGATCCTTGTTGGCGTGCATCAGACAATGATAACGTTCTTAACATGTGTACATGTATAACATGGATCATCGAGTGTCATGCCATTGGCGCAGGTCCCTGCATGTCATGGACAACAAGCGCATAAAGAAATTGTATTTCTCGCTTGTGATTCCAAAATGGTGTCCAAAGCGATTTTCTATTTTGACTTGCACCATGAAAAAATATGTTCCCGTTTTTTTTTCACGTGAATAATTGACTTGCCTTTGATGTGTTTTTCAAGACCTCAGTAAAGCTTTCAAAACGTTCCGATGTTTTTCAGGTGAACAACTGACTTGCCTTTGCGCGTGTTTGTGACGGGTGCCACCGGTGGGGCAGGATTCGCTCACCTTTTCGGGAACATCTGGTATCATCACTCGTTGATAGTGATTCATAAACACATGCTTATGATATCGTCGGAATCCTACAATATGCTTTAGTAAGATTTCTTATGATTATGGAAATGTTTTGTCGCATTTATGTTATATATCATTGGCAGCTTATTGACAACCAGAAACATTTACAGTGATACAATATCCACGGGCTTGGTGATTGGTGATTGGTTGGTGATTGTGTCCAGTCATATATTAGTCCTGTAAGTGAAGTGCTAATAAGGAAATTTGGAAACGATCTCACAGTCAGTTGGTTGTTTTATATGGTATGATTGACGCCGGAATATGTGTGCGATGACATTAATTAACAGTCAAAGGAACTGCAAAGACAAATTCGACGGTAAGGAACATACATCGAATGATTTATCACATTTGCTGCATCACTTTTTGTATGTAATATTTTGAAGCACAGTCTACAATGTCCATGCACGAATGCCGATTACGATGTCTCAAAGAAACATGAAACGTTTTATGGCTATCGTCATTTACATACCGTTTCATCTCCCTTTGCCTTCTTAGAAGATTTTTAAACCAGTTTTTAGAATTGGAATTGGTTTTGTTTCAAACTGTCAGTTCCATTGTGAAATTCCATCTTAATAATTCTTCAGGTTTCAAGGTCATCTATTTTCTTATAAGATCGTTCCCATTGAACAGTTTTTCCTACTTTCAAGCCCAGTTGTAATCTTATATTTGAAAAATAACCCAACGGCCAATATAGTGCTGGACATTTTCCAAAGTTTCATTCAAAGTGCCGTTTTTGTAGAAGAAGACAAATAGCCATTCGGTGGACAATTACGTTTCCTCCAGTGTGTGAGTGAGTGACTTGTGTTTTACACCACTTAAACATTGTCTGATATGGACCAAACATTTACAGGTTGCCGTCATACAGCTGGAATACTGTTGATTGCGGCGTTAAAAAAACCCAGCCCAAACCGTTTCTAACTAAATTCAAGTATATTACGCCCTGAGCTATAAATACCAAAAGAAAATATTAAACTGATAAAGGGAAATGTGTTTAGGAACTGAAGGCTGATAACATATCAGATTTACAAATGACCCATTGCCTCTGTTGTTCACCCGGATCAGTAAAAGGTTAATGGAATAAACAATACACATGCACTGTTAAAACTGTATAAATAGTGGAAAAAACATGCAACGGATCAAGACGTTACCAGGTGTTCGAAAAATGTGAGCATATCATCCCCATCCTTCGGCACCCGTCACAAACACATGCAAAAGCAAGTCAATTGTTCACCTGAAAAAAACAAAGTAACATATAGGTGAAATAAGGAATTGCATTGGACGTCATTTTTGTCACGGATGCAACAAATTTAGAAATGTCCTCCACATGTCTACCATAAAATATTTGAAAGCTTCACTGAGGCCCCGAATGTTCTAACCTTGATCAAACAAATTCTGAGCAAGAGTCATATGACGCTCTTGGAAATGTTGGTAGAAAAAGCATGCTCGAATTGTACCTCAAAAGTTGTGAAATGCAGACATCATGGGCTAGAGCTGCAGAAATACTGCTCTACATAAAGGGGAAGTTTTGACAAATAAAACTGAAGTCGTCCCTCTTGTCATACAGTCTTGTTGAGTGCGTTTTGTGACCCTGAATCTTTATGCATAGATCTAAATATGAAACAGATCTTGCTCATGTTTAGTAAATCACAACATCCCAATATTCTAAACATTGTTTAAACATGTTTAGAATTTCAACACCGAGCCTTACCACTTGATCATTTAGTCTGCACGAGGAGCATAGTTTACAAGGGAACTTGTCTGCGGATCACAACGACTCAAACAAACTTCCCACACTTAAAACACACCCGATAAAAGTAGCTCAGTTCCTCAAACAGTTCTGATGACGATGACATAAATGAGTTTCATGACGCCGACAACGGCAACATACGACTTCAAGCACAAAGAAAGATCGAATGACACTTTTGGCCAGGTGAGCTAAATACACATTCTAAACATACAATTGATTATGTTGTCCTTGTAGGATCGATTTTGTAACAATTTACACTTACATCGTTATATTTCTATTTTCAACAAACATTACATAACGCTGGGGTATGTATCAGGAACTGGATAATGTAAGATATTTAAGTCCACAAGAACAATCTCTGGAGGCAGTACCGGACGATCAAACAGAATTACCAGTACTCTGGTTGTGATACATTTGCCTTGCCTAGATACGCTGTAAACTCAGATTCAGAAATGCAGTGAACCAGTCTGGCACTAATATACTACCAGAATCGACCCTTTTTACAGCCTAAATTGATTTTCAGCCTCGTGAACATGCCAACCTTCCTAATACGGTGTGAAAAAAGTATGATAGATATGTGTAAGTAATAGGCATCGATGAAGAGGGGCTTGTTGTACAATCCATACAAGCTTTGCAACGGAGTCCTCCTCTTAGAGTCTATACGACAGTTGATTTAAGAGTGTGTGCAAACCTGCACTATCTCAATACATTAGAACTGCTTTGTGAATCGATAAATAACCGGATTTCTACGTTTACAAATACAAACCAAAGCATTGCAGATATTTTTACTCACAGGCACCAAATTAGATACAATATATGAATATTACCCGTTGTTCGTTGAGTTGTATTACTTGTGTAAAACCAATATTGACACTTTACCGCATCGCCTGGAAGGAATTAGGTTTGATTTGATATTAAATGTGTAACTGTTCAGTCTGAATTAAAATTACACCCCAGGCACAATTCCTCTATGTGACAAACACGTTCAAGCAATATCAATACCAATAACGGGATTTACACGTAACCAAAGTTGGGCATCGAACCGGGATCGTTGGCTACCGAACCAGAGCTTCAACCACGAGGATTTTATATCATCTCCGGTTATTATATCTCCACTCAATTATGATACATACAATATATTCGCCATGCATCACACTTTTGAATACGGTTCGAGGTATACGATGTTAAAATTAGCCGTCAAATGAAATTAAACCGTTCTGCCATGACTGAAACAAGCAACGACATCACCAGTACTCGACTCGTTGATTGAGACTTATAACTAGGGTCTCCTTGTAGCATATGGACTTTGCTAATCTCAGTTAAATCTCATGAAAGCAACTTCTCTTAAAAAACATTTATAACATATCGAGGTCTCGCTCGTGGCCACGATTTTAAGGTACATACATGCCGAACACGCATTGGGCTTATTGACTAGTTGTTGATTTCAAGCTCATGAGCGAAATTTTCTGTGCTGAGTTAGTAACGGGAGAGATGCAGATGGTGACGTCACTTCCAAAACGAGGCTGCGATGGAGAATAGGTCTATGCAACTTTCCAACAGTCAACTTTCCTGTTATGTCAAACAATATTCCAGAAGCTTCAGTACTACGGGGTTAATAATACACTTGGATGAAGATATCATACCCTGGATAACGGAGGATGCGTATACGTGTCCTCTCGATACTTCATGCTGGACTGGTTTTCTTTAATATGCAAAACAAGCTATATATTCGTTTAACCATGACTTGTTCCACAAAACAATCTCAGCGCTAGGACTCCCTTATCTGATACAGACTTAAGTACTAATATGGCTTTGCGGACAGGTCCCCATAAATTGTTTGGTCAAATAGACAATTCCCTTCCAGGGATTAACATCCCTTAACTACCGAAAAAGGAGTTAAACAGCGTCATCTGTTTTAAATTCAGATCCATGCCTAAAGAATCAGAGTGGCAACAAACCATTCACAAGACTGTATGACAAGAGGGAGGACTTCCATTGTCAATTGTCAACTTTCCCATAATGTCAAGCAATGTTCCAGCCTTAGGAGGTACATTCGAGCATGCACTGTCTACGAAGAGTTCAAAGAGCGTCATACGACTTTTGCTAAAACAATTGTAAATCGGGTTACATCATTCAAGGCTTAAGTAAAGTTTTCAGTTCTGTTTATAGTAGGCATGTGGAGTACATTTCCAAATTTGACTCATCAGTGACAAAATGATGCATTTCCCTTTATTCATTTGTACGGGTTGGCCCTGTGTTTGTTTAATGAACACTTGACTTACCTTTGCTTGTGTTTGTCACGAGTGCCACCAGTGGTGAAGGATACGCTCACCGTTTGGCGAAAACCTGGTGTCATCACTATTTAATAGTGATTAATATCCTTCTGGCTTGGTCGGAAACAGACAATGGACTCGGCTTATAGTAGTGATCTCTTATTATGTGAAGGGGTTTATCCCTTTAACTGACAGTTAATTTGTTCGAAAAAGGATACTGCCTTGTCGATATTGCTAGATTCAACACAGATGATATCACCAACAGGGGAAGGACGCCATGATTACTTTGTGCAGCTTGTAGGAATAGGTGAAACATACATCAATAGGAGACATCATAAGAATGAGCTTAAAGTATTGCACCCACGTGTAGAATCGAACCCGAGAATGCCATGATGGATAAATGCGTTAATACACGTAGTACGACTGCCCTACCACCCCTGTTGTGAGGGCATGTATGACTTCTCCTTTGTTGTAACTGCTGGGACTCCTGGGTAGGCTTCGATTCTCGATTTAGATTCGAAAATGAACATCGGTAGGTCAGGCTTGCCCATATGTGATGCTCCTGATTTCAACCACTGGTTTACAAGGCCCTGGCTCCAATTTTTACAAGACGCCGTGATATGGAGCATGAAGGATTATTGCAGCTGTGGCGTTAAACAACATTCATACAGTCATGCACAACATGAAGAGATCCTCAAGAAAGATTACAAAACCAAAGAATATTTTGGAATGTAAATGAATGTAATTGAAAAAACATGAAGTTTGGGTATTGAGAAGTGATGAAGCGGCGTTTCTCACCGAGACGTTACACTATCCGTCTTTGATCTCCCCTCCTTTACACAGATCAACAGAAAGGCAGCACTGGAGGAGTACAGTTGACTGTCAGTGAAGATGGTCGCGAAATACATACAAAGAAGATGATCGATGGATGGATTTTGATTTCATGGATTTTTTATCAAGGGAAAGCTAATCTTTGTGTGTGTGTATGTGCTTGAGTCACGCCTTCAGGCACGTCAAACAGCGTCTTCTCCTTCAACACGACACGGCCTTTATTTCAGAATGTAATCTGTATATGTTCGGGAAAGACAGGAAAACGTCTTTCTTCTGTACTACATTAAAAGAGTTATTTAGAACATGATACATGTTAACCGCGTTTATCCAGTACAATTCGCAATATAATCACTTGGTAGCAGTATTCGAGACATATCACAACTCCATACAGTGTAGCCATGTTGGATTCGAAGAGAGTCATTGGAGTTTGGTATGAGTGAGTGAGTGTTTTGTTTAACGCCACTTGAACGGAATTGAACACAATGCCATCTGGAAAGTGGCCAAATGTAACAAATGTTATATTTGGGATAACTCTTTCTTAGTAAAATACAGATTCTCGTACTTTTGGGGGGTTAAGTCCCATCCGGGATTAAGTCCCATCCGGGATTTGATCCCACACTGCCAGAGTGAGCACCTAATCGCCAGCAGAGAAAGTCAGCGATCTAACCCACTCGGCCACCGAGGCTTCCTTCAAATGAAAGTCCCATAACTGGTAGTCTAGTTCACGTACTTTGTGTACCCCTCTGACAAGTGTAAACTGGCACGGCTCCCATCGCCGAAAGCTATAAACACGCATTGCCATTTAGAAAGTTGTCAAATGTTATATCTGGGATAACACTTTCTTAGTAAAGAACAGATTCTAGTACTTATTGGACAATATTTCCGTTATTTCACGTCGAGTCAGTTTGATGTTGGAGGAATGCGAATAGTGATGCAGTGATCCACGAGTACGGGAATGGCGCTATCAAACCTAGAAAATATAATCAGGGCGAATCTGAGAATCGAACCCACAATCATACGTTTCTAGCACACCTGAGGTATACAACTATGCACGGCGAAGAGGTGCCTCTTTGAACCCTGGGCCACTCATGACCCTTGTACACAACATGTATGACAACATAGTATGGATGATGAACATATTTATCACAATTGTATCGATGTTGAAATCAACATCGAAACGTCGTTCAAATACAGAAGTTGATCATGCCAACTTGCCACTGATTTACATGATATACATAAGCCGAATAGCCAATCATTAGTACATAGCAGTAGCGCCTGATTAAATACAGTCGTCACAAGCTGCAATAAGCATGGTTTCAGCAGGGGGGGCTGGGTGTTCGGCGACTTTTCAACCTACCAGTGTTTATGAATCTATAAGTAAACACAATACAAGGGGTGAAAGGCGTTTACTATGTACAAAACAATCATTTGTGATTCGTTGTGAATGATGCCAAAATAAAATACAACAGTGCAGTCATGTGGAGTTAGTCAATGAGTCGAGCCATGAGAAGCACATTTATCATCACATCATTCAAGTAAATTGTTCTTTGGGCGCATGATGTTAATTTTGATCATGATATCAAATATAACGCCAAAGTTATAATATCAAATATTATAGTTACCAAGTTAAAGAAATGTGATTTAAAATATATATTAATTTGTATATCATAACATCGTTAGCGTCATAATATCAAGGTTAACAAGAAGTCCAAATAACAGTTTTAATGTAACAGATAATTGGAAACTTTTTTTCCGAAATGAAAAGTAATGACACTGATGGGCTATACTTAATACGTATCCCAGTATCGCCAACACAGTGCGAGTAGCACAAGCATGTCTCCATTGTTGCACAGACAACATATCCTTCTTTCCATTTAAAATCTCTGTATTCCAGTAATTGCTACACAATCCTACCACAAGGTACCCTCGCAGGGGTCTTTACGGGGTGTCTTGTGGGCTTCAATCTTCTTCAAAGGGTACTTGGAATATCCCTACGCGGATGAAGTATTGCTTATACGAAGAAAATAAAGCACTAATTGAATGTCGAGAGTATTCTAACCGTTTTACAATCTCAAATATATCGTTGAATTCCAACCTATTCCTAAATCAGCATAACAAATATTCTGCTTGTAACTCTTGTTTAAGAATTTATTTTTTTTAAATGCAATATCGAAATCAAATTATCTTTCGCAAACTGGTTTTGATATTATGGTTACCAGGTTTTATTTCAAGCACCCTCTTCTATTGTCCAAGAGCAGGGTACAGAGCATGGAGAGATCAAATGGAAAGGATTGTCTGTTTTGTCCGACATGGCGGTCAACGAGAGGTCGCTGAACAGTGTATTAGCTGCCGTATATTTTGTTTTCTAAAACTAAAACAACGGCACGATATAATACATGATGATGGAAACATTATATAAACCGACTGACTTTTTTTGTACAAAATATACGGCAGAATTAACAAAGTTCACTGGATTAGATCTATCCTCTTCGTGCCCAACGCCTCCCAAAGATAATTTTTCCGAAAGCTTTCCTAAAGTCTCTATTGAATACGGTATAGATAATGGGATTTAAGGCGGAGTTACAGTATCCAATCCAGAAAAACACGGTGAACACCACTCTTGGAATACAATTCACACAGAAGGCAGACACTACATACAGTATAAAGAATGGCAGCCAACATAAGATGAATGCCGCCATCACAAGTCCAAGTACGACGGTTGCCCTCCTCTCGCGGGCTTTGGCAAGTTTTCGCTTGTGCTTCTCTGCGGAGAAATATTCTGTCGGTTTTTCCTTCAGTTCGTCTGTCTTTTTGGGAGTTTTTTTCTCACGGTTAGCATTGAAAAGATGGCGTGTAATATTACCAAGAAAACGGTTCCGATCCCTCTTTTGTCTGTTCGGGGCTATGACAGAAGGGGTTCCGTTTTGTTTGGGCTCAATTATTGTGAACTGGTGAACTTGGCCGTTCCCTGGCTCCGGGCCAGAGTCAGTGTTCGCATCCCTCTCTTTTCCATTGGAACTTAGCAGGCTTCGGTGTTGTTCCGACGAAGACTCGGTGTCACTTGTCAGGAGAGTACTTGTCCCAAGCCTGCTAGAATTGTCTCCCCTGTTAAGGGTCCGTAACGAAATATCACATGTCGAATCAGAATCTGTGGATATTAACTTCGCCATTTCATCACTCGGCAAAGGCTGGGAGATCGTGTTGGTGTCAGATGTCTGCACGTGCGTTGCTGTCTCGTCATCCGTTGTAAATGCTTCGTGGCATTGTTTTTCCGGTGCCGCCTCGTCAAAGTCATCCTCGTTCTCATCGTGATCTTTGGCCTCGTTGCCATGACCTTGTTCTGTGACGCTCGATTCCGTTGAGTTCTTGTGCTCTCCTTTTGCACCGAGGGCTGCTTTAGGCGTTTTGGCGACAGTTTTACGTGCTCGCATTTTCGCAGCTTGGTAGATTTTATAATACACAAACACCATAATTATAGCCGGGATGTAGAATGAACCCATCGATGAATACAAGACATACCCGATATCTTCACTGAGGTTGCACATGGGGTATGTTGTATCTTTTTGACGAGGAGCTTTCCAGCCAATCAACGGAGGGATACAAACAGCAGCGGACACTACCCACACGATTGCAATCATGATAGTCGCTCTCTTGGGTGTCCGTTGACGGGAGTAGTGAATAGCACGAGTGATCGACCAGTACCTATCTAAACTTATTAAACAAAGACTTGAGATGGATGCTGTGCATAGCAGGACATCAATAGCTTTCCATAACTCACACCAGATTGTGCCAAAGAACCAATAGCCCATCAGCTCATTCGAAAGTGAGAATGGGATGATAATCAGACCAATGAGGAAGTCCGCCAGAGCTAGAGAAGCAATGAACAGGTTCTGTGTGGCCTTAAGGTTTCTGTCAGTTATGATGGCCCAGATCACAAGGAAGTTACCAATCACGATCATCAGCATAACAATCGTCACCATGATGGAGGCGAAGATGATATGGGCCCAGGTGTATCCGCTAGGGTACCCAGCAGGAAAATACCGTTCTGGCTCATCCGTTGTGTTGGCATCTGCGTCAGTGGTGTTGCGGTCAACTGTCGGCCAGGTTGTCCAGTCAGCGGTGGCGTTGTAATCACCTGCGCTGGCCACCATTTCCGTGACCAGCATGCTCGAACGATTCAGCATTGCGGGGCCTTGTTTTCAATGCTGATTGGTTCTGGTCTTGTCAGTCCACGGCTGTCCGTTCTTCCCAGGCCGAGGCTGTCATCGTGCTTGACCTGCAGAATAAGAAACACAAACATTAGCAATGGGAAGAAAATTACTGTCAATTTAACTGTCTTGAAAATCTTATTTGGCCCCAACTCGTATTTGTAACCCTCATAAGTAGCTTTCCTTTGTCTGTTATTCCTAATTCTGGAATTAAATTCGTTTTCAGGCGATCTAATTTGTTTACAGTAGATGGTCCTGCAACAGATCGATGCATGTTATAGGGGACCTAGTGTCCTGGGAGTATTGGGATGTGAATAGATCACTTCATCTCTGTTGCAGAGGGAATACCTGTTACACCCAACAATGGCTCTCATCCGGTCTAATTACATTGTAAGGGGAGGTGAAATAGCAAAGGAAGGAGACGCGACAACATGAGCTGGGATGTTCTGAGGAGGTGTCTATTGATGTAGGATCGTGTTTGTTTGAGGCCGCACTCAGCAGTATTCCAGCCATATGACGGGAGTCTGAAAATTATTGAATCTGAACCAGACAATCCAGTGATTGACAACACGAGCATCGATCTACGCATTTGGGATCCGATTACATGCATTGAGCAAGTGAGCGAGTCTGACCACCCGATCCCGACTACTGCAATCATGAATTGCTGAAAACCAATTTTAACCCGGATCTTCATGGGGTGCTGTTTTACCCAACCCAAAGTAGTTGTAGTCAACCCAAATCCCAACTACTGGGACACAGTATTAATCACAAACAAATCGTTTGCAGCTAAATATAACAACAAACAAACAAATCGTTTGCAGCTAAATATAACAACAAACAAACAAATAGTTTGCAGCTAAATATAACAACAAACAAACAAATTGTAAATTGTCTAACATCCCTAAATAAGTACCTGCATGATACTTGAACCATAGTTATGCCTTGTCCTGAATTGACTGAATGACATAATTAGATATAGTATTAACGTGTATAGTCGTCGCGACTTTCGGAAATCGTTTCATTTAGGTTCATGAAGTCATCAAATGTCATTATTATTGCCATTACATGATCCGCAAACCCTGTGGCCTTTGTGTACTGTGTCTTAAGGCTGTTAGGCCTCCCTAGCATACCAGACAGCTCCGGCAGATCAATTACCTTTTTATGAATTCTATTTGAAAAATGTTTAACTATGGACCTGTGTATATGTATGGATTTTCAGTTGAAATTTGAACCTGAAACAAAACACCCCTACCATCAAAGGGGCAATTTACTCCCAGAATAAACACAACCATAATGTATCAATTGATGCTGGAAATATTGATCGATGGTTTGAAAATATGCAGTGATGGTTTCCCTGATCACTTCTAATACGGTATTAAAAACATGGCGGTTTGACGAGAAACAGTTTCAGGAAATTACCTATTTTCTTACCGGCGCGTCCTGAGCTCATAATAAGATAACAGTGTTTTTCTCTCTGACAAATAACAGGAAATTAGAATGTCAGCCTTCATCAGGTTTAATAAATGTATCATGTCTCCATTGTTTATTTGAGTCTAAGGTCATGACATTTACGACAAAGAGTAATAGGTTGCACCACCAAATACAAGGATACCTTCTATAGTAAAACGGAGTCACAATTGAGCAGGCCGTAAGGTATAATACGAGCAGAACGGAATGTTAGGGTGACGTTCTTTGTTAAAAGGAAACATAATGATATGAAACATAAAATATCGATATATTTTCTGTTGTTGAAAACGGTTATATGTCCAAATTACTTGATACTTATGTAACCACATCCATCCTGGTGTAGCAAGCTGTCAGAAGACCACATGTACTCATGGGGAAATCAAGCATCGTACATCATCCCAATTGACAGAGCCAACGCCCTACCCGTTTGTGACAGAATCAACCCCACATCCGCCAATGACAGAATTAACCCCACATCTGCCCATGACGGAATCAACAATGCACCCGCCCATGACAGAATGAAAACTACATTCGCCCATGATCAAGTCAACCCCAGATTCGCCCATGACAGAGTCAACCCCACATTCGCCCATGGCAGAGTCAACCCCACACTCGCCCATGACAGAGTCAACCCCACACTCGCCCATGACAGAGTCAACCCCACACTCGCCCATGACAGAGTCAAACCCCCATCCGCCCATGACAGAGTCAACCCCACATCCGCACATGACAGAATGAAAACAACACTCGCCCATGACAGTCAACCCCACATTCGCCCATGACAGAGTCAAACCCACACTCGCCCATGACAGAGTCAACCCCACACTCGCCCATGACAGAGTCAAGCCAACACTCGCCCATGACAAAGTCAACCCCACATCCGCACATGACAGAGTCAACCCCACATCCGCCCATGACAGAGTCAACCCCACATCCGCAAATGACAGAATGAAAACAACACTCGCCCATGACAGTCAACCCCACATTCGCCCATGGCAGAGTCAAACCCACACTCGCCCATGACAGAGTCAACCCCACACTCGCCCATGACAGAGTCAACCCCACACTCGCCCGTGATAGAGTCAAGCCAACACTCGCCCATGACAAAGTCAACCCCACATCCGCACATGACAGAATGAAATACACATTCGCCCATGACAGAATCAATCCCCCATCTGCCCATGACAGAATTAACCCCAAATCCGCCCATGACGGAATCAACCCCACATTCCCACATGGCGGCTTCAATCCCACATGTACCCATGAGAAAATGATAAACGCATCAGCACATGACAGTATCAACCCCACATCCGCCCATGACGAAATCAACCCCACATCCGCCCATGACGAAATCAACCCCACATCCGCCCATGACGGAATCACCCCCGTCCCCGCCATTGACAAGGTCGACTGTCAAGCAGCAAGTATTTTATACATGTGACATGCGACCCCATCAACTAAACCACAAGTCGGAGAGACATATCATAAAGCAAAGAGCCAAACAGTCCGCTGCAAACAGATGACTCCCAAATGAAAAATGATCAAAACGTTGGATTGATCAAGAACAGGTATTCTGCACGTGACCGATCTTTCATCCAGCTCACCTGGTTCGATGTTGATTGAAGAAAGAACCGCCAAATGAACATTTGAATCTTATATAATACTAGGACAACGACGCCTGTTCTGTCATGACCAACGCAGCAAGAAATCAACAGTTAATTAAAACTAACAAATTACATGTTATCATTTCGAGACGTGTTCCTAAATCAACTTGACAACAGCCACACATCACCTGGTAAATCTTGGCATTAAGTACGCTTGATTTAGCGATGTCTAAAAGACAAGCAAGACGGACTATTTCTATAATTGTTACTTTGAACAAATTCTTCCATCCGCCTTGAGCACAGGGTACCATATATCCAACTGCAGAGCCCTCCAGGACACTCCAATGAAGTCTTCTTTCTGGCACAACTTATTACCTCTGAGTGAACAATAGCTCCCTTTGTCTCTGGTTCCGTTTTTCATTGACATTTATCGAAAGGCTTTCGGAACGAGCTGGCTATAGATCAGTCTTTGCCCCATCACAGCACGTCCCAGCATGGCGGTCCACTCCCCAGGGATGTGGCGTTCGCTGGCTACAGTGTAATGATAGAATAGTTTAGCCCCTGGGTCCTCCATGTATTAATTGGAGCCTCCAATGACCGGTTTAGAGCTCGAGTTAAAGCAATTATGACCAGTCATTTTGGTTGTCCAGGCCATTTTTTGCCTTACACCACAATCCACTGCAAAGTGTCCCGGGAAATTAGAGTGTTTTTGGCCCACAGACCAGGTGGCCTAAGGTATCCTTTGCTAATGGACTAATGTAAATGTGGCCTGATCACGCGCGGTCACGAATAGGCCTGACAATATTGCGAGAAAAGACGTGATTTGCGCCCCCCTCTGGATGACTTGAAGGCTGTGAATGACTTGTAACAGTCACCGAACTCTTCCCAGAAGTGATAGTGCAGGACCTGGCACGCCTCTTCTCGCTGCTTTATGTCAAACTACCCACTGAAAACTGTCTGGAGAGACTCGTGCTTGCCCACGTTTACAGTTCACGACAGTTCAGGGCGAAAATGTAATACATGACTAAAACGTTTTGGAAAAAAATATTCTGAAAACATACACTTCTTCCCCATGTTTAGACTCGGCTTATGGGGAATCGATAGCCTTGGAGTGATAGATCACGACCACGTTTTGTTGCCCCCTCAACGATAGTCACGCTCAGTTAGCATCTGAAGTTGTGTACTGCGAAGTATTCACAGAGGATAATGATCGCCAGTGGAATTCATGAGAAAGGCTACGCCTCAGAATCATTTGTTCCTACGCTTTACTTTAAACGATGGCACCTCTTCCTTTCACAGGCTAGACGATAATGAGTGACTTCAGAAGAAATTGCAGATAGTAGCAGATTGAGTTATGTCTGTTTCCCATTACGACACATCATGTTTTAGGTGTTCGCTCCGTGGTATTTTAATGCTGGTTCAATAAAGTTTTCAAGTTTTTTAAAACCGTATAAGTTGCGACCCCACTTCCCAAAAGAAAAAGAATTAAGAGAGAAAAAAGCGAAACGCATATGTTGTTTTCAAGAGTATCATCCTTTTCTACAAGGCTTTAAAACGTACATCACCTCACCAAGAGAAAGGATGTTTATAGTTTTTGTCGGAAGAACAGAACGGTTTTGTGGATACTTTCTGTTCAGTAGGCTCAAAACTGGATAGACTTACATGTAGGTAACAGCAGAGTGAATGAGTGAGTTGATTTTAACGCCGCTTTTTACAGTATTCCAGTTATATCACCGCGTGTCAGCTTAATGTGGGAGAAAGTCCGAAATGATGCAGGTCTTAGATATTTACTACCTTGGCGAGCACGGACATATATGGTGCTGAAAACATGAAACATAACCGGGGCGAACCGGGCTTCGAACCCACGAACATTGGTTCCTGGCGAACCCAAGGGACGCAAATCTGAAAAAAAAATTTGCAGCACCTTAGACGACTGGGCCACCCGTGGCTCAACAAGCTTTAAAAGCGATACGAGGGATACGTGTGTGATGGAGCAA